AATATTAAATTTTGTATATATAGATATACTGAGCATGTGCGACGTCACTAATTTATATGATAAGTGACATCATAGGCATATTTCATAGCGTTGTTTCTCCGTCAATTTTTGACTAACAAGAAAAAGAAAAAACCCGTGTTTACTTAATTTTCATTTACTATCGAAATCAGCAATAAAAAAATTTGATGCAAGGAGCCTATATGCTTCAAGAGGGAATTATTGAAGAGTCAAATAGTCCATGGTCTCCGCCAGTAGTATTGGTTACAAAGAAAGATGCCCGTTTTCGATTTTGTGTGGACTACCGTAAGCTTAATAACGTCACCAAGAAGGACAGCTTCCCTCTTCCAAGGATAGACGACTGTTTAACCTAATGCCTTTCGGATTGTGTAATGCTCCCGCTACGTTTGAGCGACTGATGCATTTAGTTTCTCGAGGCCTCACATGGAGAATTTGCCTGGTATATTTAGATGATGTTATGATCATGCGAAATTTATTTCAAGAACATCTCAATAACCTGACAGAAGTCTTTGACCGCTTCCGGAATGCCAACTTAAAACTCAACCCAAATAAGTGTTTTCGATTTCAAAAGAAAGTGGAATTCTTTGGTCACGTGGTATCTGAAGATGGCATACAAGTTATCGAAGGAAAGATGGAGGCTGTCAGAGATTGGCCAAAACCACGCGACAAACATGAACTAAGGAGTTTTCTAGGATTATGTTCGTATTATCGAAGATTTGTAGAAAGATTTGCTAATATAGCTGCTCCGCTTCATCGATTAACGGAAGAAAAATCAACATTCAATATTGGACCCCAGAATGCGATTCCGAAAATTGAAAGGAGCATTATGTACAAGCCCAGTGTTGTCCTAGCCTTATCAGAAAGGCATGTTGATTTTAGACACAGATGCAAGCAACACCCGTATTGGAGTTGTCCTTCCACAAACTCAAAATTCACAAGAGCATGTCGTAGAGTACTACAGCAGAACCTTTTCAAAGCCAGAACGAAATGATTGTATCACTAGAAGAAAGTTGCTTGTCATAGTAAAAGCAGTCGAACATTTCCATAAGCATCTCTACGAACGCAAGTTTTTAATTTGAACAGATCTCGCGGCTCTAAAATGTCTTTTAGAAATAAAAAATTCCGAAGGACACTTGCTAGAGGGATTGAGAAATTGCAGCAGTACGATTTCCAAATTAAACACCGATCTGGAAACCTGCATAAAAATGCTGACGCTCTGTCTAGACGGCCATGCAAAGAACCGATAGGCATGAGAAAAACACTGGTTCGGCTGTGGCAAGAACTGGTCTGATCGTTGATGACAAATGGACTACCACACAAATGAGAGCAGATCAAGAAGCAGACCAGGACATCGGGCAATTTCTGCATCTTAAATAAAATGTTGAATGTAGGTGAGAATAGAGGGAAGAGTCGAGCAACAAATTCATTTACAAGGCGTTGTGGGCTCAGTGGAAATTTCTGGCCGTAGAAAATGGTTTACTGAAAAGAGTTTGGAAAAGTGCCGATGGGAAATCTACTAAGAGCCAACTGGTTATTCCAAAAGATCGATTAGAAGATGGTGATACTGGATCCACTATCACGAAGACGTTAAAAACTGGTGCCGAAAATGCGATATCTGTGCTACCAGTAGAAGCCCTAAACTAAGATCTTGGGGGCCCATGAAACAGTAAAACGTCGGTCTCCCATTTGAAAGAATAGCGATAGATGTTGTACGACCGTTCCCTGAGTCAGAGAGTGATTACAAATACATATTAGTTATCATAGATTACTTCAGTAAATGACCAGAAATTTTCGCTATTCCCAATCAAGAAGCCATCACTATTGCCTAGGTGCTAGTGGACGAAGTTTTCAGTCGTCATGGTGTGCCACTAGAGTTGCATTCAGATCAGGGACGAAACTTCGAATCTGCCATCTTTAAGAAAATTAGTGAGATCATGAGACAAGGACAACGCCTTTACATCCACAGTCTGATGGCATGGTAGAATGATTTAATAAGATCATAGAGGAACACCTGACAAACGTGGTTACAAAGAACTAGCGAGATTGAGACAAACATTGGCCTCTATTTTTAATGGATATAGAGCAGCAGTTCACGAGTCGACATGTGAGAGTCCAGCTAGAATCGTTTTCGGAAGGGAACTCGGGTTACCTTGCGATCTGATGTTTGGAATACCTGAAGAAGAACGGAAAGAAATTCGAGACTATGCCGACGAAGTAAGGGCACGACTTCTAGGGATCCATGGTGGATTAACCGAGTTCAGCGCAACACCAACAGGTGTTCCCGCATAGCTTAATTTCCAAACTAATTTTATTCTTATACTTGATTTTAAATTTTGGCGCCATACAATTTCAAGTTTTACATGGTACGAGCAGATTCGATGCGCTTCCCAGAAATTAGCACACCAACCAGATTAAGACAAAGATCCAAACTTGTCAGTTGAGTTTTCAGACCCCTCAAACCTATCCTTAGAAATTCAGGTGAAAATTCCGTTAGAACATCAACCTCATAGTTTTAGAAGATATTTTAAACCTATTTTATGTGATTGTGTTCGTCGAAGACTTGGTAGACCATCCAGGTGCACCAGCAGGAAAAGAAAACGTCCTTTTATTATACACAAGTAAGTGCCTCCATTTTGTTCTTGTATGGCTCGGGTTCAAATATCATAGTTTTTATTTTTCGGCAAAAATTTAGATGAATCAACGCGTTTACAGTCCCGCGTCTCTTATTATCGAAGATAAATCGAAATTCAACATCAAAAGAACACCAGGAGTAAGATAAAAGTTGTACATTTGGACCGGTTGACGAAATATCATGGCCGCGAAGTCGATCGGGACGATCAACCTTAAGAGGAGGGCAGTGTCGCGAAAATCTGGCGGAAGCGCCAGGGTGTACAGAATTGGACAGCTGATTCTAGATTTTGCGGTGCTGTTCGGGAAGGAGGGTTATCGCGTGTATTCTGGATTTTGCAGGAATAGATTGCGGATATATAAAGGCCGGTATTAGTTTCTAGTTTTTAAATTTAAGTTTGGCTGTTATACGATTTAGATAGTGAATATTTTCTGAATTTAGCGTGGGTTATAGGGCTTGGCACAAAGAAAAACTCAATTTTCACTTGGTAACCTTTCTAAGTGAAAATTGAGTTTTCTTTGTGCCAAGTCCTATAACCTACGCTAAATCCAGAAAGTCATTTATCAGGACACTAAATCAACATGAATAGTGAATATTGTTAGGAGTTGCAAAGAGTTAAGTTGCTTGAGTTAATTAGTGAAGTAATTAGTGTCGGAGTGTGAAGTAACGTGGAATAAATTACCCAAGATTTATGTCACGCACCATAAAGCCGTGACAATATAATAGGAGATAACTATACTCGGTATCGAGTGATCGCCTATGATGATGACTGAATTATTCACATCCAGCAGTAACTGCAATGAACCAAATCCATGTGCTGAGCAAATAATTAAACTGACTGATAAGTTAAATACGTTTCTGAGAGGCGGAATCATGAAAGAATGTCTTCTCATGCTGCTCCATTCATACCCAAAACCTGACGGTGTCTTTATGTTAATTATCAATGCCTCAAAAATTTCACTTTGTCTGATTAATAACTTCTCTCTCGAATCAATGATCTGTGCCAAAAAAACAAATAAATGACCACTCTTGATTCAAATTCAGGACACCATCAAGTACAAAAATCACATAGGAGAGAACTTTATTTGGAGTTTTTCGTTACAGGAAGATGCTATTCGGAATGAAGAATAATCTCTCCATATTTGAAAGACTTCAATATTTGAGTTTACTATATAGCATATATTGAATATTTGATTATATTATCCAGAACATTGAAAGAAAGCCGTTATAAATAAATTAGGAGAAATATGTGAGCCAAACTAACCCAAATGTCTTTCCGTCTGTTTCTTTGTTAAGTAATCAGGATACTTAATCACACCTCGGACATTTCAACAGTCCATTTCAGTTGCTTCTAGAATTTTTCTGTTTTTTTCCTCTACAGACCTTTCACCTAGATTTCTCTCCTCCCAAATATTTTAAAGAGCCGTTTTCTTTTATCTAAACTTGCTCTTGGTTCCTAAGATTCATCCCTTATTTTGCTGATGTTGTGCAATTTCCTTAATTTACATTCAATTAAAAGCCACAAATCAGATTTGATCATTTCAATTAAAATAATCGCCTCAAATTATTTGTCCTTCCTCTCGATAGTACCTAATTAATTATTCACAATATCTTTAATGGTCAAATTAATCATATAATTTTTATTTTTTTAATGGATTATAAAATAGTATACATTTTTAATAAAACATTTACCTTTTCCAAAGTAAAGTGTTGAGTGGGATCCAAATATTAACCAACATCATTAGCTATACAAAAGTTGTCTGTCTTTGGTTGGCAAATAATTAAATCTTGATGAGAAAATAATTTTTTAAACAATAGCATGTCTCAATTTAGTCCGAGATTGCAATGTTCGTTTTTTTTTTGTAGGTTTTTTAATGTCAGTTTCTTTTGTGCGACAATACTGATACATAAAACATCTGCTTCTTTCTATATCATTAATTATGCAAATTATCCATCGGTAAATATTAATTTGAAACTTAATATACAGGTGTTTCTCACTTTCTCTATCAATCATATTAAATTATTATTTGACTTTGCTTTTTATTGTTTTGTAACTGTTCTTAACAATAAAATTTAATGAGGCCCTACTCACGAAATTCGGCTGAATATCATACATTTCAAATGTTTACAACTTTAGCACCGCAAAGTACCAGTTCGACTTACTTTGCATGCTTTCGAACGTTTTTATTGTCGCGCTCGTCTTAAATAACCCATTTCCTCTCATATATGAAATTTAAAATTACGAACCACTGACCAGCAGAAACCATATAAAACCCATTATACACTATTGCATGTATTAACATTGGTGTTTGCATCGGAGTAAATTAAAAACAACAATATGAAAAATTCTTACCATATCTGGATCGTTCCAGTGTCCCGGTCCAGCATTTGGTACTATCACATCTTGATTATTTCCATAATAATCAATAATACTTTCAACACTTGCCCATGAATCCTGGATATCGTCAAAGTTCCTCCATAGGTTGCAATGTTGAATTATTGAGGTAAAGTTTGGAGACATGCCTAAAGAAAAACATTGTTGCTAAGATAAGCTGAATAGGTACAGGGTGAATCATCATATTTTGACACCCACCTGCAGCCGTATTACAGGTGATAGGTGAAAGGTGTAAATATAAAAGTTGTAGCATTTTATCTGAACCTTCACAATTTTTAATTAGATCGAACAAATGAGCAACGCAAAGTAGAAAAATATGTCGATGATCACTTTTTTTATATTTTACCTTGATTTACCTGTCACCTATCACAAAGCATTCTGATACCGAATAGGTCATTGACTAACTAAACTCCAAATATTTCCAAAACTATTAGAAGAAAAATTAACATATTACATATAAACTGAATGGGAAAAACGTGAACTATCAGAATTTGAAAGAATATTAAGTGCATTCCATTTGAAAAAAGTGAACATCGACATATTTTTTCACTTTGCGTTGCTCCTTTGTTGAATCTAATCAAAAATTGTGGCGGTTCAGATAAAATGCTACAACTTTTGTATTTACACCTTTTAGCTATCACCTGTTATTACGGCTACAGGTGGGTGTCAAAATATAGTGACTCACCCTGTACATATTATAGTTATCTAGGAGAAAAAATATAAATATTTCGACATTTCAAATTATGTATATGTACCACAAAATCCAGACCAAAATAATGTTTAAGAATTTGCAATTACTACCAATGACACTAGGGCAACTAAAATATGTATAAAACATTTTATATTGCATAAATATCAGAGGGCGACCTTGTTTTATTTATGCTATAGTTCAACGTTAATGTACAATAAAATGAATATTTAATCACTATTGATCTTAATATGGTTTGGTACGTGCAGTATATTTATTATAGGTTTTATCCAAACAGGTTCCCTTTTTTATATAATATTTAGAGACTTTGTTAAAATGCGTATGTCTCAAACCAATTATTATACATTTTATCAATATTTAATTGAAACATTTATAGTCAACTTATTACACAATTTCTATACCTGCATAAATTTGGTATACTGGCCAGCTACAACTATAAAGCATCTGTCTCCCAGTTCGGTTCAAGTAATATCCAAATTCTGGATATCCCCGATCCATCTCGCTCGGATGAGCATAGCATCCATCAAGTTTTACGTAATCTACGTCCCAGGAAGCGAAAGTGTCAGCATCCTGCTGTAGGGATCCTATCACACCTGGATATCCTGCGCAGGTGTAGTTTCCGTAGTCCTCGTAGATACCGAATTTGAGATCTTTGGCATGAATCTAGTGAACATAAAGTTACTATTTGTTATTTTCACTCTGTAATGTTCGATTATCGTAAATTATTAAGAGCTTTTCAAGGTCCGTTCTTTGAGAGTGTTAAAAGTGACCTAATGGTGATTGTACTATTACGGTTATTATTAGTTGAATAACTGTAAAATTATATTACCTAAAGAAATGTATTAGGTGTTCAATGTAGGTTCATAATGTAAAAGCTGTGTGGAAAAACGTCTTAGACAATTTTTTTTTATCAAGATTTTCTCACGCACATTGATAATAATTTTGAAGCAAGAGTCGACTTATGAACCGGTAATTGGATATGTTACTGTAAATGCCCGAAATTCGGTAAAACCTAGGATAAGCGCGCTAAACCTAGGATTTACCAAAAGTAAATGGTAAAAGCCCGAAAACTAGTTATTTTGCTTCCATTTCGGACTTTTACCGGACACAAACAGTAAATCTTAGGATTTACCACACCGCATTGGTAAAAGTACGAATTATTTTTCTTATAATAATAATATCGACAAATTAAGCATGTTATGTGGTGGCTAAGGATTTAAGAAATGCAATTGCATTCGAAAATGTTTCTTCAAAAGATGTTTGTGCAGATCCTTTAAAATACTCTGCAATTCTAAATGACACGGAAGTTTGCCGGGTACCAATACATAAATATTTCTATAGGTGGACATTTTAATTCATTTATTTCATTTAATAAATAATAGTAGATTATACCACGAGTCAATAATAATAGCTATTATTCCCGAAGAATATTCACGAACTGGGGTGCGATTTTCGAAACCATTCGAGTACATTTCGTAGACGAAATTTGACTGCTCCCCATTTAATTTACATTGCTGTCAACTCGAATGGTTTCGAAAATCGCACCCCTGAGCCGCCTTAGCGGCGTGCGGGAGTAACATTCCGAAGGAATTATAGCCATTATTGCGACTTTATTTACGACAAATTAATTTATTTCAGATTAAGGCTATGGTCCGAAAATAACCAAACATTAACCAGAGTAACCGAATCGGTTAACAGATGGTTACTGAAAATTCCGGTTACCTACTTGAGGAACGCAAACATGAAAAAAAAAAATTGACAAAAATTACAGATAAAACCAACAAAACCGATATCCGATGGCCGGGTAACTATTTTGACATTTGGTTAACCAGATTTCAGGAAACCGAGGTCCAAAAGTAACCACTTTTCCAGGAACCAGAGTAATTCGATCGATTACTTTCGGACCGCGAAACCACAACTATGGCTATATTCGGACCATATTAATGAACAAATTTCATCCATCTCAATTCGCAATACAAATCCACAAGCACTACACGTTTGACACTGACACTTTTAAGGAATAATGACCATTAATCCCTCTACTCGTCATTATTCCCTGGTGGAATAACATATGTCATTATACTGCCAAAATTACAAGTAATACATTATATACTTTAGTCGTGAATAAAAGGATATTTTCTTTTAATATTTAGGTACTTTCTGCAGTATTAGTACCTGAATTAATGTTTTTTTTTTTAATTTAAATATCTCGTTTAAGACCACTATGATTTCTATTTACATTTAAGAATATTGAAATAAAAAGTGTTTTGGTGCGACTTTTTGTTTCATTTATAAAGTACCTTATTTTTAGGCATTGAAATTTTAACGATTATCGTTTCAGTATATCGATTTCTGTAGCGTATCAGTGGTATTCGTACTTTTACCAATGCGGTGTGGTAAATCCTAAGATTTACTGTTTGTGTCCGGTAAAAGTCCAAAATGGAAGCAAAATAACTAGTTTTCGGGCTTTTACCACTTGCTTTTGGTAAATCCTAGGTTTAGCGCGCTTATCCTAGGTTTTACCGAATTTCGGGCATTTACAGTAACAGATACATCTAATGATGGATTGACTTTTCTTATGAATCATACATCGTTTCAATATATTGGTGATTGTTACTGCTATTACTGCTTCTCATAGACACAAGTTGTTGGGATTAGGGGGGCATTTATGTCTGAGCTTCTGCAAAGAATATAATAGACTCCGTCTCTAGAAGACCCGTCCGCCGGCGAAAATATAAACCCGCGTGATGGCGCTACTGTGCTACCAAAATCCTTCGTTTCTGTGATTAAATTAATTTGAGGCACCAAATACACGGGTTATTGCGGAGCTGCGTTGCCAAGTTGTGACTGGCTATGTTCAGCACCGTGCAATTTACTATTATGATAACAAATAATTGGAAGTTTTGCTATTGGGTAGGTATTTCATGTGACTGCACCAATTTAAGTACACAAATTGATAATTTTAGTATAGATTTTGTATAGGAAATTAATTGTCTGTGTTTTATAGGTAGGTATGTACTTATTATGTACAGTTGCGGCCATTGGAATTGGCACAAATTTTTGAATGCACCTTGTATTCCATCAAAAAAATGAACTATTTGACTTTTTGAAGTGAAAACTTCTTTAGAATCGTTGGGAGTGATTTGAGACTCGATGAAATGAAAAAGCGACCCGATGAAATGAAACGAAAAGCAACACTTTTTTAACACGCTTATAATTAAAACACAATACACAACAAGAACCTGGAACAAGCCAAGTGAGCTGGAACAAGTCTGGAAAAGTCTGGAAATCTCTGAAAACGTCTAGAAAAAACCTGGAAATTTCTGGAAAGGGTCGGAAAAATTCTGCCAAAGGTCCCAAAAGACCTGGGGATCATTTTCCAGAATCCGGATCAGTATGTATGTCTGGATAAGATCTGGATAAAGTCTGTAAAACTCTGGAAAACCCTGGATAAGTCTGGGTATTGTCTGGAAAAGTCTGGAAATCTCTGGAAACGTCTGGAAAAAGCTTGGAAATTTCTGGAAAGGGTTGGAAAAATTCTGAAAAAGGTCCCAAAAGACCTGGGGATCATTTTCCAGAATCCGGATCAGTCTGAACAAGTCTGTTAAAGTCTGGATTAATCTGGATGAAGTCTGGAAAACTCTGAAAAGCTCTGGAAACGTCTGGAAAGAGCCTGGAAATTTCTGGAAAGGGTCGGAAAAATTCTGCCAAAGGTCCCAAAAGACCTAGGGATCATTTTCCAGAATCCGGATCAGTCTGTACAGGGTGCTGCAATTTGGAGTGTTTTTACAGAAAAAACACAATTCCAGACCAGATAGAGGAAAATTGACTTAGATATCATGGAATCGATTTTCGAGAAACGTCGATTGTCAAAAACCGTCTCGCGATATCTTCAATGGTACCATTAATACAGGGCGATTTTCGATTTTCCCCTATTATGAAAAATGGCCATAAGTTTTTTATTTATCAATTTTTTTCATTTCTGTAAAAACATTGGAAATTTCTGGAAAGGGTTGGACAAAATTCTGAAAAAGGTCCCAAAAGACCTGGGGATCATTTTCCAGAATCCGGATCAGTCAGTACAAGTCTGGATAAATCTTGATGAAATCTGGAAAACTCAGGAAAGCTCTGAATAAGTCTGGAGAATGTCTGGAAAAGTTTGGAAATCTCTGGGGCTGGCACGCTTTTATAATACATCGAACTAAAAAGTGAAAAATAAATATATTTTGAAAAAACTAAAAAACACGCTTTCATAGTAAATTGAACTAAAAAGTGGAAAATAATTTGTAATATAAAAAAAAAATATTAATGAACAAAAAATATTAGAATTATTGTGAAAAAAGCGTGGGGTGCTCAATGTATAAGAAATGTGGAACAAAGCACCCCAGCGTGTATTTTAGTTTTTTTAAACTATATTTATTTGCGTTCTTTCTCAAGTCTTTTGGAGGGGGGGGGGGCGCCACTGTGTATGTTAGTTTGTGTGTAATGCATGCAGTTCGATGAAGGTTTCACTTCTACCGGGTGTGAACTCCACAGGATTTTTTTTTAACAAGCCGTTAATGCCAAAATTTTGTCAGTTTTGGCTTTATACAAAGCGCGTTCAAAAATTTGTGCCAATTCCAATGGCCGCGACTGTACCCTACCAGTACCATTGAATAATAATAGGTCTGTTTCTGCAGAAATCACAAACCAGTCAGAGTGAATTTCATTGGTTGAAACTAGTTTTCTGACTGTTTTCAACCAATGGAATCCGCTCTGACTGGTTTGTGATTTCTGCAGAAACAAACCTAATATTATTAGGATAAATAAAAACAAAATAATAAATAGTTTTATAAGTATGTATTTTTATAGTAATTTTCTGTCACTAATAAATTCATTATATAAAAGGAACTTAGACCGATCTACAAAAAAATAAATAAATAATTCATAATTCAAAATAAAAACATAAATTTCTAAGTGGCAAATTCGCCCAATATACTGAAAACCCCAAAGAAAATGATAGAACATAGCATCCATTGATATTCTTTGCTTAATTATAAAATAATATATGTTGAAAAATTAAAGAAGTTCAGGATTCTAAAATATCGCTACAAATAAATTACTAACGATAAAAAAAAATTGCATTTTCAATATTTACAAAAAAACTATTTATACATATTAATATTGGGTTTTTCTGGAACCTACCAGGGTGTGCGAAATACCTGAGGTACTTAGGTACGGTACGTACCCACTGTCCTAAAAATAAAATAACAAAATCGTTGCGTTTGAGCGATTTTTGCTATTTTTTAGTGGGGGACAAATATTTGACGTGGAAAGTTTCCGTTGGCCCTCCCTGTTTAGTATAGATTTTAGATTTCTCAGCATAGGTAAAGATTATACAGCATGGGTAAAAAGAATGGAACACTTACAGGGGTTTGAAAAGAATCGCTCGGACCTGTCAATTTTATTTTTAAGCTGCGCATTTTTCGGAGATTGAGTTTAACCGGAATTTTCAATCATGAATTAAATACAAAGTTGGTGTCAAATGATGGGTTTATGGAAAATTGATAAGAATGTATGATCGGTTTTGCTCTTAAATTAACCGTCAAGGTTTTAGAGCCTGTCAAAGTTGCAAAAAAATCAACTGTCAATATTTCCGAAATAGTTGAAGATAGGTATAGGAC